ACCACAACCCCCCCCCCCCCCCGCCGATCCGAAGTTTCGGTGGTTTTAACAGTAAGATCCGATTGTTGTTCTCGGAGCTCCGTTCATAAATCTCGTGTTATCTCTTCGAGAGTGTGCGCGATGAGGAGAGAATATGAGGGAGATTTGAATCGGAGTCTGGTTTTTATAGGGCGAAAAATTCGGGTTATGAGAGACGAGAGATTCGAGAGACTTCGAAATTTTTTGAAAGTGAAAGCTGTGTCCCTCTGGTTCTTCTTTTATTGTCTGTTGACAGGTAAGGGCACAAATAACGTAAACAACCCTTGATACTCTAAAATATCTTGCATTTTTTTATCTGATAAAGTGGCTGGGTTATGGTACAGCTGCATCCACGGAAATATATTGCCTGCTCGCCTTGATCATTATTGACTTTATCTATGGCATCATCAGTAATCGTTATTGACCTGTGCTTTTGATAGAAAATTAAGATAAAAATATGTTTATGGACATTTGGATTTGATATTTAGGGCTGCATGGGAAAGCATAAAAAATATATTAAAATATTATTTTTTAATTTAAAAAGTTTTAATTTTAATTTTAATATCAATACAATAAAAATATATTAAAAATTTAATTTAAAAGAAAAAAAATTCAAAAACACAATTATATTGTGATAACAAAAAAAGTTAATGAATGAGTAAATAATCATCAAGGGATTTCTTTAATAGCATTATTTTGCTGGGAGGGCGTTAGCTTTTTATCTCGGCGCATTTTAAATATATATTTTTTATCGTATTTTTTTTTGAAGGTTTTAATATATCAATTAATGTTATAAATAAAAAATATTTTAATATATTTTAAAGTAAAAATATTTTTTAAAAGTACAGATATATAGATAAATAAAATTGTTGAGTCGTTATTTTAAAAGAACAAAAGGATATTGAGTTTATTTTATGGTTATACCTTGCAATTAAGTAATTATGATGAATTTTTTTAATATTTTATTTGAATTATTAGGAAAAAGACCTTCATTTAAATGTCATTCATTGCTAATAATGATTGTGGATTTTGTGAGATGGCAACAAATTAATGGTTTGTGAGTTGTTAGTTCATGTATTAATAAATACAAGATTGGATTTCGAACCCTCTAATACTATTTTTAAAAACACGTCAATCATGGTTACACGATTAGCGAAAGCTTGTATTTTTATTAAAAAATATTTTTAAAATTTTTATTTTGTGATTTTAAATTATTTTAATATATTTTCAAATTAAAAATATTTTAAAAATGAACAGCGATGTTAAACCAACTCTGAATGAAGAAGGCTACGGTACTTACAGTGAGCATGCTCCATAGAAGTTTTCTCCGAGCGGATAAGGCGGGCACATGGAAAATAAGACCTTTTCGGAGAAGGGAAAGGCATGATCATCTTGTGAAAGTGACATCAACGGTCGGCGTGTGAGACAAGGATAGACCTTAGCCTGATGTGATAATAGCTCTCTCTCACTGGGAGACAAGTCAAAGCCCGTCTCCTGTCACCGAGTTTGTCTTGAATCTTTTATGCTTGACACGTGTTCGGTCGGCGGGCAGAATGGGTCAGGATTTAGGCTAGGATAACGTGGATAGATTAGACTGGTATTAAAAAAATATCTTTGACAATCAGTCACGTAAATTGCAAAATTGGAGAAAATGGCTTCATGCTTATCCCGAACCAAAAAAATAGAATAAAACGAATTTGATAGGGATCCTTGAATATTAAAGGATAGATTTTCGTGCCTGAAAAATTTATACAGACTACCGAGTACATGATGTGGAGGGTAAGATGTAAATCCAAGCCAAAGCGGATAGAACATACGTGGAAATGTCAGCCACGTGATAATGGCAGGACACTCACCGTATTCTGCAGTAATATTTAAGTACACTGTATAGTATTTTCATGGTTGGTGAGAAAAATAACTAAAATATCTAAGATATTAGTTAAAACTGATTTAAAATGAATTTTTAAAAATCAATTATGTTTTAAAAAATAGTATTTAAAACCAATAAATTAAGTTGAGAAAACAAATTAAAAAACAGAGACTATTTATAATCAAATTGAATCAAACAACTCATTTTTTTATCTAAAATATAATCAAAACTTGAATGAAAAAAGTAAAAAAAAATCATAACTTATTTAATTTTAACAAATATAAAACCAAATTAATTAATCATGTATTATTTCAATTTGATTCGATTCAATCCATACTTTGAAAAAAAAAATTGTTGAAACCAAATTATTTGAATCAATGCTCACTCCTATCCATTTTTTTTTTATAGATATACTGTGTGGTTATTAGATGGATAGGCGATAGTTTTTAATATTAAAATAGTTATTGATTTAAACCATGTAATCAGACTAGATAAAGAATTAAGACGTTTCAAACTGCAATATGCTGGTCACGTGTGATCAATGAATTGTAAATTTCATAGAAAGAAATAAAATGGTATTTAATACGGTGATTATATATATATATATATATATATATATAAACAATCTAATATAAGATGTTTTTAAAAAATTAAAATGATAATATTTTAAAAAATAAATAAATTAAAAATTAAATTTTAAAATAAATAAATCAGATCAACCATGTTAATGAATCAACTCAAGTCTTTCAACATGTAGAGTGAATTTTTTCCTTCTTCTGATTGATCCTTAACTAAACCACTTCAGGTATCCAATCAGCTGATTACAAGTCAATCTAGCGTGTTAGCCTGGTTTTACAGCTAATATCATGTTTTTGAAGGGCATTCAGGTGTTTACCGTCTGGAAAACCACCGCGCTCGGTGGAGATAATGACATTGGTTTCTTTTAAATTTGTGTACGTGGCAAATGTGTGAGCGAAAGCTTGATGCATCAGTCTCAAATTATTGCACAAAAATCAGTGCTAATTATTAGCTAATCACTCCCCTCGACCATTCAAGTTTTTGAACACGGGAGTAAATGATACGTGGCATTAGATGTCATCATCGAAACCTTCAGCACTCGCCTGACCCATTATTACGCAATGGTACGTGGCACCATGCTTGTTGTCGAGAAAACGTTAACCTTAATCACGAGCAATTAATTGATCACGTTCAATGCACGTATCAGTTTCGGGTGCATGATACAATGTTGTTTTGTGCAAAAAAAAATTGCGGTGATAAAGCTGTAATTATTGAATATTTATAGCAATAAAATGATAAAAATAAAAAGATAATTTTTTTTATAAGACTAAATATAATTTTTTTTCTCTTATATTACAACTTACAAGTACCTATTAACTATAATTTTACCACTGTAAAAATTTTCATTATATAGCGATTGAGAGCTCAAAAGATATTTTTGCAATCCAAGAATATATCATCATACCATCCTTGTAACATGTGAAGGGAGAATTGAGAAAAAAAACATCAAAAACATACTATAACCCAACTATAGTATCATTAATATAATAAAAATAATTTTAACACAATAAATTTAATAACATCAAACACGGTCACTAACATTAATACAAGTTATATAATGTTAAAACCTCTAATAATTCAACACATGGTCATTTAGAATCTAAGTTCAATCATGTTAGTTAAGTTATTGTCTCATATTACGATATATAATATTTTTTAAAATATTTTTAATTTAAAATATATTAAAATATTTTTTTTATTTTAGATATCAACACATTAAAACAAATAAATAATACTAAAAATATAAATTTAAAACTTTAAAAAATTTAGAAAAATAGTCTAACCAGGCTTCAAATTTTCTCTAAACCAATTATCACTTGTTATTGTTCTTGCGGAAGGTTTTTTTTTTTTTGAACTTTTAATTTTCATCTCGAGCTTTTCCATTTTTTTTATTCATCTCAAAAGTTTTTTTTTTTCCTTCTTATTCTGCGGGCATATGCATCCATGCGATGAAATTAAAATTTTGAATTAATAATATCTGACCAGGACAATGTTACGGGTACATGGATTTGACACGTAAAAGCGAGACCAGCTCCTTGCCACCGTGGATGTTTTTGGCAACTTGTTTGTCCAGTTGTTTAGTTCATGTATTAGTAAATATAAGATTGGATTTCAATAACGAACCCTCTAATACTATTTTCAAAAACATATCAATCATTGTTACACGATTATTAAAAGCCTGTTTTTTATAAAAAAAATATTTATTAAAATATTTATTTTGTGATTTTAAATTATTTTAATATATTTTTAAATTAAAAATATTTTAAAAATCAACAGCGATATTAAACCAGCTCTGAATGAAGAATGCTCCATAGAAGG